CTCACCATGGCCAACTCACCACAGCCAACTTACTATGGCTAACTCACCACAGCCAACTCACCAGGGCCAACTTACCATAGCCAATTCACCACAGAACAACTCACTTTAGGACAAGAGTTAAACTAAATATCAAAGAAATAGCGGAATAGATTTGTTGAAGAAAGGGTGCAAAAAAATTAAAATAACTTTTTATTTATTTTAAATAATGAAATAGAATTGTTAAATTGTCCTGCAGCAACTTGTCCCACGGCGAGTAGGATCGTTCCCTACCAGCTCAGGGGGGTTATCTTTTACAGGGGGTCCTTGACTTTCAACTATTTGTTTAGTGACCTTTCGAAGGTAAAACAGCACCGAAGAAACCGACTTAGGACCGTTTTTCACACTTAACGACCGTTGCAGCATCCCCATGGTCACGTGACCAAAACTCAGATGCTCGGCAGCTGACTCCTATTTATGATGGTCGCAGTGTCCCAGTGTCACGGGATCCTCTTTTGTGAACTTGTGACGAGCAAAATCCGCGGGGAAGCCAGATTCGCTTAACGCAACCACGTCATGAGCTTAACAACCGCAGCGATTCACTTAACGACAGGGGCAAGAAAGGTCTTAAAAAGGAGTAAAATTCCCTGAAGAAAAAAATTGGAATTAAGCAGGATGTCTGTCAGAGGGGCAAAAAAGTCAAGATGGCGCCCACCCCTTTTTTCGTGCGTCACATGTGACTGAGGTGGGACTTCCTTGGCACAATCCTGACTGACATGTTGCCTTTACAGACAACCTCTCCTGGATTAGTTTTTTTCCCTAGCAAAAGTCGTTCATTTTTCTTCCGTTTTTTTTTTTTCTTTTCTTCCCCCACGCCCCCCAGCAAGGTTCGATAAATATTATTCCATGGCGTATATCGACTGTTCAGACATAATTGTTATTGGTGTCCTGTTTGCCGCAAATTGTTGATGTTTTAATTAGGTTTTGTACTGGTGATTTTTTCTCATTAAGTGGCTATTGACCAAATTATACCCAGGACTTGGTGTGCAAACAGGGATAAAACAAACGTTTTTCATCCAACGCAAAACATCCATAGCCAAGAGTCACCAATCATGCTCTCCAATTAAATTTTTGTACGGCAGAAAATTCAGTCCTCTCATCGGTCTCTGAAGGAAATATGAATGGAAGGTACTTTCGATTCCACACTGCCGCCCGCTCTTTGAAGCTTCCGCCCTCCTTTCTGTTGTCAACTGTAAAACACGTATACAAAATGTTTTATGAGTTGACATGGTCATTTTTATCATGCTGGGCAAAATGCCAAGCGGAAGGAATTTGGTTCCAACCGCCATCGCAGCGGAGTGCTTATCATTTCTATAATCCTTTGACATAATGAGCGGGGGACACCGGTTTGGGTGAACCGGGTGTTAAGTTTACATTCTGGTTCGCCGAACCGGTACTTGCAATGACTGGCTGAACCCACCCACCCAGCCACACCCCTCCCAAGGGTCCCCACATGGCCCCTTTGGGATCCCAGATAAGTGCAAGGCCCGCGCGGAGTCTCGGGGAGAACCAAAAGCGGAACTTCCGCCGATTTTCGCCCTCCCAGAGGCTGGAGGAAACCCCCTGGAGCCCGCGGAGGGCAAAAAAACGGCTCCCCCACCACGGCGCAGGAGGCCAGCTAAGCCATGCCCACCATGGCTATTTCCACCCAGCAACCGGGAGAATAACAGAATTGGAAGGGACCTTAGAGGTCTTCTAGTCTGACCCCCTGCTAAGTCAGGAAACCTTATACCATTTCAGAAAAAATGGTTGTCCAATCTTTTTGGAGCATCCACAACTTCTGGTGGCAATCAGTTCCATTGGTTAATTGTTCTCACTGTTAGGAAATCTCTTCCTTAATTCTAGGTTGCTTCTCTCTTTGTTCAGTTTCCATCCATTGCTTCTTCTTTGCCTTCTGGTGCAAACTTGACCCCTCACCCACCCCCCTCCTCTTTCCGGCAACCCCTTAAAAGCCTGTTGCCTATATCACACTCTTGAGCAAAGCATGCCAGCCATTTCCTCCTTTCAGTGGGCCGTGAAAGCACATCTATACTATAGCGTGCAGATAATAAAGTCAAAAAAAAAGGTGAGCAACATTTTTGCGAAACTATAGATCAGTTGAGGCTGGGTGTGACAAGGAATGGCTGAGAGGGGAGGGGTCAGGCGAGGCACCCCTTGACGTGAGGGACATTGAGTTGGTCACGCCCACCCAGTCACATGACCACCAAGCCATGCCAGCCAGTCACATGACCACCAAGCCAAGCCCACAGAACTGGTTGTTAAGTAATTTGAACCCCACCCCTGTGCAGCACTCACAACTTCTGGTGGCAAGCAGTACCACTGGTTAATGACAATAGGAATTTCTCCTAAGTTCCAGGTTGCTTCTCTCCTTGATTAGTTTCCATCCGTTGCTTCTTGTCCCGCCTGCAGGTGCTTTGGAGAAAAGCTTGTCTGCCTCTTCTTTTGGGGCAGCTCCTCAAATATTGGAAGACTGCTATCATCTCACCCACAATCCATCGTTTCATTAAACTAGACGTACCCAATTCCAGCAACCATTCATCATATGTTTTAGGCTTTTAGCTTCCTGTCCCCTAATCATCTTGGTAGCTCTTCTCTGCACTCTTTCAAGGACAAGGGTCTTCCAACTTGGCAAGTTTAAGACTTGTGGCCTTCAACTCCCAGAATTCCTGAGCTAACCTGACTGGAGGAGGAATTCTGGGAGTTGAAGTCCACAAGTCTTAAAGCTGTCAAGTTTGAAAACCTCTGGTCTAGCATAGGGTCTTCAACGTCGGCCATTTTAAGACTTGTGGCCTTCAACTCCCAGAATTCCTGAGATAACCTGACTGGAGGAGGAATTCTGGGAGTTGAAGTCCACACAAGTCTTAAAGCTGTCAAGTTTGAAGACCCCTGCCGTAATAGGTTGGGAGAACTTATATAGCTCCCTTAGTCATCAGAATAACAGGGCTGGAAGGGACCTTGGAGGTTCTCTAGTCCAACCCTCTGCTCAAGCAGGAGACCCTGGCCTATACCACGTCAGATAAATGGCTTCTTGAAAACCTTTAGTGACGGAGCACCCACAAATGCTGAAGGCAAACCATTCCAAAATGGATCTTAAAACCTGGCTGGGAGATAACATGTAGAAGCATGCGTTAGGCCAAGGGTCTTCAAACTTGCAAGTGTTAAGACTTGTGGCCTTCAACGCCCAGAATTCCTGAGCTAACCTGACCGGAGGAGGAATTCTGGGAGTTGAAGTCCACACTTCTTAAAGCTGTCAAGTTTGAAGGTCCCTGGTCTAACATGGGGGGCCTTCAACATCAGCCATTTTAAGACTTGTGGCCTTCATCTCCCAGAATTCCTGAGATAACCCGACTGGAGGAGGAATTCTGGGAGTTGAAGTCCACACATCTTAAAAGCTGTCAAGTTTGAAGACCCCCTGTATCTAGACCCTCAATCTCGGGACAGTGTGCTTGTGGAAGACCCCTTTCTCCAACAGGTAGAGGAAAACAGGATTCAGCCAGACTCTCAGGCAGGAAAACCACAGAGAGGCACGACCTGGTCTGACTGTGGTTTTGTTGTGGTTTACAGGTGGTTTCATGGCCCCATCAGCCGAGCTGAAGCCGAGACACTCCTGACGTTGTGCAGGGAAGGCAGCTACCTGGTTCGGAGCAGCGAGGCCAGCCGCGGTGAATATTCCCTCTCACTCAGGTAAGGGGGGTGGACTGCGACAGGTACCCGCTTCGACTTGGGAGCTTCATCCCTGGAGGGTTTCAAGAAGAGATTGGACTCCCATCTGTCAGAAATGGTGTAGGGTCTCCTGCTTGGGCGGGGGGGTTGGACTAGATGACCTACAAGGTCCCTTCCAACTCTGATTGTCTGTCATCTGACTTACGGCCCCAACTGGCAAGGGGTGCAAGCAAGTTGCCTCTGATTTTACAACCCCTATTTTTTTTTGGGGGGGGGCATGGTTGTTAAGCAAATTGCTGCGATTGTTAAGCGAGACGTGCGGTTGTTAAGTGAATCCAGCTTTCCCCACTGACTTTGCACATTGGAAGCTCCCTGGTGATCCCAGAATCCCCGGGATGCTGCAATCCGTTGTACATACATGCCGGTTTCACACACACACACACACACACACACACACACACACACACACACAAAACGTTGCGGTTACATCCCCAGAAGGACGCATTGACGGTTGTAAGTGTGAGAACTGGCCCTCTCCGTGTGCTTGCATGTTTAATACTATCACTTTTTCAGGGCTGTTGTAACTTTGAGCGGTCAGTAAATGAACTGTTGTAAGTCGAGGACAACCTGTATTTGGCAAGGCTGAGCTTTCAATTTTTCATCCTTTTGCTCAGTTCCCCTGTTTCTTCCTCTTCCTCCTTCTTAAGATTCTTAGACTTAGAAAAACTTTATGGTCACTTGGAATGTACACTAATAGGCATACATTAAAATGGAATTTCGTTGCATACAGCTCTCAAAGGCTCGGAGTAGAGTAGAGTAGAGTAGAGTAGAGTAAGATAGAATAGGATAGAACAGAACAGAACAGAACAGAACAGAACAGTGGTGTCAAATTCATGGCCCGTGAGCTGGATGCATCAAGCTCTGGCCACACCCACTCCCGGTTTAGCAAAGGGAAAAATCACAATATGTCAAGTGACGATAACATGACACCGGAAGTTTGACATCCTTGATATAGAATATAGAATAGAATGGAATAAAATATAGAATGTAGAATGTAGAATATAGAATATAAAATACAGAATAGAATAGAATAGAATAGAATAGAATAGAATAGAATAGAATAGAATAGAATAGAATAGAATAGAATAGAAGGATAGGATAGGATAGGATAGGATAGGATAGGATAAGATAGGATAAGATAGGATAGGATAGGATAGGATAGGAATAGGATAGGAATAGGATAGGATAGGATAAAATAATAGAATAGAATAGTAGAACAAATAGAATAAATATAACAGAATAGAATAGAATAGAATACAATGTACTGGAGGAGAGGAAAAGAGAAGAGAAGATAAAATAGACTAGACTAGACTAGACTAGACCTGACTAGACTAGAATAGAATAGAATTAGAAGAGAAGAGAGAAGAGAAGAGAAGAGAAGAGAAGAGAAGAGAAGAGAAGAGAAGAGAGAATAATAGAAGAATAGAATTAAAATAGAACTAGGATAGGATAGAATTAGAATAGATTAGAATAAGAATAGAATAGAACAGAATAGAGAAGAATAGAGGAATAGAATAGAATAGAATAGAATAGAATAGAATAATTTTATTGTCACTTTGAATGTACACTAATCAGCATACATGAAAATGAAATTTCGTTGCATACAAACTCTCAAAGGGTCACCGCTTCTAATATACACTCCATAACCACGACAAAAGAAATAAATACAAAATGATGCGTATACCCACATTTATCACACGACACAGAGAAACAACACAACTGTCTTCGATTCAGTTCAATTTCTGTTCTGGCTGTTTCCCCCCTCAGGGTTCCCTGGTCCTATTGTCCAGGCCTCTTTTTTTCTCCCCACCAGCTTTTTTTTGGGGGGTGGGGGGGGAGAAAATCTCATTTTCCACCCACAATTTCTAAGTCGATTTCCTCTGCAAACGCGCGAGGTGTGTGGGAGGTTAAACCGATTTGATGCGCAGCCGGAGGGCGGCGAGAACTTCCCTTCCGCGTCTTGCCCCGGGAGATGCCAGCGTGGGCTTGTTCGGATCGGCCTAACATCTTCCCATCATCCCCAAGAGACTCCCATCATCCTCAACCCGATTGTCCTTGGCTGTGATTTACGGGGCGCTTCATTAAGCCTGTGGGTGCTGAGAGAGGGAGGAAGAAAATATGAATTGACAGGAGGGGTATAATCTGTGTTTGAGAAGGTCGCAACGGCAACCCCCTCCGTATCACGCTGGGCTCCCCGAACCCACTTTGATCACACCATTTGTAAGCTGCCACGGCTCGACGTTTCGTTCTTTTTTCTGCTCTGTCGAAGCCGTGAAATTACAACCGTTTTTTTGTGTTTTTTTTAATCCTTCCCACGAATGGAGAATCTTCCTTTAGAGACGGGATTAATGTCATTTTGACCTGTGATTCTGCTGGAGAAAGGAGTCTAAAATTTCACCTTTTTCTTTTCTTTTTTTTAATGGAATAAGAACAAGGTCTGTATGGAGATCAGCCACCTTTACGCATGGTTGAAAAGAGACAATAAAAATGGAGGAAATTTAAAAAAACAAACAAACCTGGACGGATTCTCACCAGCCGGATAAGCCGGGATTAACACCAGACAAACAATCAAGCAGAAAAAAATACTCTTATCAAGAAGGAAGAGAAAAAAAAACCACACTGGCGGCCTCAGCCCCACTGGCAGGGCAAGCTGCTGTATATATAGGCAACAAAAACCCACACTCATTAACACTGATGAGGTGACTTGGTTTGGTAATGAAACGTCTCCAAACAATCAACCAAGCTCAAAAAGCATTATGGACTCCGCAGTCGCCAGCTTTGTGTGGTGGTGGAGAAAGAATTATTTTCTGTTAAGTTATTTCGGGGAGATTCGCTTTAAGGATGGAGATAAAATCAGAGGCGGCTGGATAACACTACATTGTTTAAAAAGAGGTTGAGACTCTAGAAAGAGTGCAGAGAAGAGAAACCAGGATGATGAGGGGACTGGAGGCTAAAACATACGATGAACGGTTGCAGGAACTGGGCTTGGCTAGTCTAGTAAAGAGAAGGACCAGGGGAGACATGAGAGCTGCCTTCCAATATTTGAGGGGCTGCCATAGAGAGGAGGAAGGGGGTCAAGCTATTTTCTAAAGCCCCTGAAGGCCAGAGAAGGAATAATGGATGGAAACTGAACAAGGAGAGATTCAACCTGGAAATAAGGAGAAATTTTCTGACAGGGAGAACAATCCACCCATGGAACAGAAGTTGCCTTCAGAAGTGGTGGGAGCTTCATCCCTGGAGGCTTTTCAAGAAGAGACTGAACTGCCTTCTGTCAGAAATGATATAGGGTTATGGGGTTGGACTAGATGACCTACAAGATCCCTCTTCCAACTCTGTTCTGTTCTGTTCATATGAAGATTGGTTGCAGGAACTGGGCCTGGCTAGTCTAGTGAAGAGAAGGACCAGGGGAGACATGAGAGCAATCTTCCAATATTTGAGGAGGGGCTGCCACAGAGAGGAGGAAGGGGTCAAGCTATTTTCCAAGGCCCCTGAAGGCCAGACAAGGAATAATGGATGGAAACAACCAGGAGAGATTCAACCTGGAAATAAGGAGAAATTTTCTAACAGGGAGAATAATCCACCCATGGAACAGAAGTTGCCTTCGGAAGTTGTGGGAGCTTCATCTCCAAAGGCTTTTCAAGAAGAGATTGGACTCCCACCTGTCAGAAATGGTGTAGGGTCTCCTGCTTGGGCAAGGGTTGGACTAGATGACCACCATGGTCCCATCCAACTCTGTTCTGTTCTTAGTAACAAGGCCAGAAGGAGATTTTGATAGAAGGCCAGTGTGTTTTCAGACCCAGGGAATGTATGTTCTTCTTGGTCTTGTCTGGGGATATCATTTTGGATTTGGGGCACTGGCTGGCTGGGAAGATTCTGGGAGTTGAAGTCCCCTCATCTTGGCATGGATAAATTGTGATCTTTTTAAGATCCCTGAAAAAAGCATCAACAAGTTATCTCTACCTTTCCGCAGGGGTGGGATTCTACCTGGTCCGACCGGTTCTATAGAACCGGTTGTTACGATTGTGCACGGTTTGGAGAACCAACAAATTCGCACCACTGGCCAGCCCACTCACTCCTTACCTGGCATATGCACTGTCAAACTTGCCTGCTAAATTGCTATTTTTCCTTTTTTCCCGTGACTATCAAGCTGTTCTGCTGTGCCGGGAGATTTAGATTAGGAAATCGTTGGATTTCTTGCTTTCTAGCTAATCTAAAAGCAGAGCTGAACCTTCCTTAGGACCGAAGCTTCTATTTTTCAGTGCAGACTCAGGTAGCAGATGGCAGAAAGGTAGATCTCTGAGTGAATCTGTGATTCCGTGAGCAACTCAATCCGCCTGCCTGCTTTGCCTGATTTTGGGTAAAAGTTGCTTTTTTAAATAAAAAAAATATCAATGTTTACATAAATATGTATAATATTTACATACAAGCCACGCCCAGCCAGTCACGTGACCACCAAGCCACGCCCAGTCAGCAAGCCACACCACCCCAGTCACACGACCCCCAAGCCACACCCACAAATTAGGCCACGCCCACAGAAGAAATTTGAATCCCACCCCTGCCTTTCTGGCTTTGGGGACCAGCAGCAACTGCAGTGGCGGTTTCGCACACGTGCCTGGCACTTGTGCAAATGGAGCTTTGCACGCTTGTTCACCTCTTACACAGTCCAGTCCCCAATGGATCGTGGGCCGGAGTTTGGGGAATCTTTGGGGATCTAGTCTCTGTTGCCCCGAGCCAGAAGTTCAGAGAGATATATCGCCTTCTTCATTTTCATCTTCAAAAAGATGACTCCTGGTTTCGACTTTCTGACTTGTTTCTTTTGTCTAAATTTAAACAGGACACCTCTCCAAACTTGGCAACTTTTAAGGCTTGTGGACTTCCACTCCCACGGCTGGCTTGGGGGAAATTTGGGGCCTTGAAGTCCACAAATTTTAAAGTTGCCAAGTGTGGAGACTTCCGTGGTGCCAAAATAATGCCGAACTGACTTATTAAGGCAGGGTTGTCAAACTCGACTTGATTGAGGGCCGCATCAGGGGTGTGTTTGACCTGGGGGGGGAGGACAGGGAGGGGGGGCATGGCCAGATCGATGTCACTCTTGTTGGGGGACCTTCTAAGGCAGGACTTCCTTCAGACTCTCACTCATTCTCATTTTAAATTCCTTCCTTCTTTCTTTCCTTCCTTCCTTCCTTCCTTCCTTCCTTCCTCCTTCCCTCCCTCCCTCCCTCCCTTCCTTCCTTCCTCTTTCTCCCATCTCCCTTCTTTCCTTCCTTCCTCCCTCCCTCCCTCCTTCCCTTCCTCTTTCTCCCATCTCCCTTCCTTCCTTCCTTCCTTCTCATCATTTCTCCCCCTCCCTCCTCCTCTTCTTCCTTCCTTCCATCCATCCATCATTCTCATCATTTTCCCCCCTCCCTCCCTTACTTACTTCCACCCTCCCTCCTCCACTTCTCCTTCCTTCCTTCCTTCCTTCCTTCCTTCCTTCCTTCCTTCCTTCCTTCCGTTCCTTCCTTCTCGTCATTTCTCCCCCTCCCTCCCTTACTTACTCCCACCTCCCTCCTCCTCTTCTCCTTCCTTCCTTCCTTTTCTTCTTTTTCCTTCCCTCTTCCTTCTCCTCTCTTCTTCCTTCCCCTCTTTCCTTCCTTTTTTTCCCTTCCTTCATCTCTTCCCATCTTTCCTTCTTTTTCTTTGTCTTTCCCTTTCCTCCTTTCTCCTTTCCCGTCTCTTCTTGGATAAATAACAGATAGCAGATCGTCAGAGTTGGAAGGGACCTTGTAGGTCATCTAGTCCAACCCCCCCTGCCCAGGCAGGAG